TCCTTGTGAGTCCCTTCCAACTCACAATATTGTATGATTCTATGACTCTCTAAGTGTGCTGTGCCCAGTTTGCTCACTGGGACAGCCCCCAGGGGAGTCTTTCTGCTACAGAAGCCCCTGCATTCCCTTGCTGTTGGGGAGCATTGTTGTGGTTTGACCCCACCAGGCAGCTGAGCCCCATGCAGCTGCTCCCTCTCTCCCTGCCAGTGGATTGGGGGAGAGAATCAGGAGGGTAAAAGTAAGAAAACTCATGAGTTGAGATAAAGACAGTTCAATAGCTAAAGCAAAAGCTGTGTGCACAAGAAAGCAAAGCAATGAACTCATTCACTCCTTCCCATCAGCGGGCAGATGTTCAGCCATCCCCAGGAAAGCAGGGCTCCATCACGTGTAATGGTTACTTGGGAAGACAAACACCATCACTCTGGACATCCCCCCCTTTCTCCTTCTTTCCCATCTTCTACTGCTGAGCATGATGTCCTACGCTGTGGAATATCCCTTTGGTCAGGTGGGGTCAGCTGTCCCAGCTGTGTCCCCTCCCAACTTCTTGTGCACCCCCAGCTTCCTCGCTGGTGGGGTGGGGTGAGAGGCAGAAAAGGCCTTGACTCTGTGTGAGCCCTGCTCAGCATTAATGAAAACATTTGTGTGTTATCAAAACTGTTTTCATCATAAATCCAAAACACAGCCCTGTACAATCTACTATGAAGAAAATTAACTCTATCCCAGCCAAAACCAGTACAAGCATGTGTAGCTTCTACTCTTGGTCAAGCATTAACACAGTCAGTGCTGGAAAACCTGATCCTTCTTTTTTATTATACAAATATTGCCTTCCCTGGTGAGCTAAACCAGCCCTTTAGTAACTGTAACTTGTGCTGCAAAGGGGATCAAGGAGACATCAAACTTCCCTCTGCATTGTCAGTGGAGTGCTCGGAAAAAATGGAAGATCTGCACCCTGCTGTTAATGTGGGTGGCCCAGAAATAACAGCCATCAGGATTCCTGCAGCTGAGTGTTGGGTGCTCAAACCCAAACAAGCAACCACAGGGACAAGGGAACTGGCCACCAGTCCCACTGGTGCTTTTAAGTGGGTTATTGATCCACAGTCAGGCAGGTGTGGGCAGGGAGCAGCACAGCCAGGTTCACGGTGCGTGTACAAAGAAATGTGCTACGGGCTGAAGCGGGGAGCGTAGCTTGTGACCTGCATCCCAGAGCTATAGTTAGGACTTGTGGCCTGATTAGGTGATTCTCCCCCTCCACTCCGCTCTTGTAAGGCCCCACCTGGAGTACTGTGTCCAGTTCTGGAGCCCTCAACATAAGAAAGACATGGACCAGTTAGAACAAGTCCAGAGAAGGGCCACCAGGATGATCTGAGGGCTGGAGCACCTCTCCTATGAGGACAGGCTGAGAGAGTTGGGGCTGTTCATCCTGGAAAAGAGAAGGCTCCGGGGAGATCTCACAGCAGCATCCCAGTACCTGAAGGGGCTACAAGAAAGCTGGGGAAGGACTTTTCATAAGGGCAGTTAATGACAAAACAAGGGGAAATGGGTTTAAGCTGAAAGAGGGGAGGTTTAGATTAGATATTAGGAAGAAGTTCTTCACTGTGAGGGTGGTGAGACACTGGAACAGGTTGCCCAGAGAAGCTGTGGCTGCTCCTCCCTGGAAGTGTTGAAGGCCAGGCTGGATGAGGCTTTGAGCAACCTGGTCTAGTGGAAGGTGTCCCTGCTGATGGCAGGGGGGTTGGAACTGGGTGATCTTTAAGGTCCCTTCCAACCCAAACCATTCTATGATTCCATGATTAATTCCCGTGCACTGGAGGCCGTTAATTTGGCAGCTCTGTAAGCCTTGCAGGCAGCCATGAGAGGGAGCCCAGCCCTAACAGGTTGCCCCAGCTCCAGCGTGAAAGAAAAGGTATGGAGCAGGTTGCATGTCAAGTATTAAAACCTTTTGTTTTTTTGCTCACGCAGAACCTGGTTGCGTCTTACAAGGAGACTCGGAATGGCCTGGTGGGAATGGATTACTCAACCAAATTTGCACCATGGTAAAGATTTTTGTTGTGACACTGGAAGCTCCTTCTCTACTCCCATCCCAAACTGATCACAGAATCACGGAATGGTGGGGTTGGAAGGGATCTCAGGAGATCATCCAGTCCCAACCCCCCTGCCAAAGCAGGGTCACCTCGAGCAGGTTGCACAGGGTCACATCCAGGTGGGTTTTGAACATCTCCAGAGAAGGAGACTCCACACCCTCTCTGGGCAGCCTGTCCCAGGGCTCTGGCACCCTCACAGTAAAGAAGTTTTCCCTCATGTTTAAGGAACCTCCTGTGTTCCAGCTTGTGCCCGTTGCCCCTTGTCCCATCACTGCTCACCACTGAGAAGATTCTGGCCCCATCCTCTTGACACCCGCCCTTTAGATATTGATAAACTGTTTTCCCCACAGAATTGTGACGTGAAAGAATTTTCTGAGGCTGTTACAGGTCAGGATTTCTTCTTTCCAGCTTGCTTTATGCTTCCATGGTTGCAGTGGATGGCTCCATCTGGTGGCACTTTGGGATCTCAGGACCCTGGCACTGCAGAACTTCTTTATTTTAGACCTCTACTCGAGTTTTTCTAGGGTGGCCATTTACCCAGAGCAGACAGTGCTGATCTGCCTGCCCCAAAGCCTTCCTCTGTCAGATAATCAAATCAGATCGATTCAGATTGCAGCCACTTTGTACTGCTCATTTCTTAGTGTTAGAGCTGGTCAAGGATTAAGGAAAAACTTCAGGCCCTTTCTTCCTGTTTTCAAAAATTCATTAGAACATCACATGTTTCCACGCACCCTGGTGGGAAACTGCAGTAAAATACATTTCTAGGAAAATCAAGGTAGAAGTTGTTCCTTGTTGCCCTTTGCCATGGGGTTGGAGTCTACAAGCTCTTTCCTGCCTCGCACATCACTGATTTGGAACAAATGGAAGGAGCCCAGTGGGTTGAAATGCCAGATCTGGGTTTAATTCCCTAATTTTCCTACCCTGCTTGAGATTTTCATCAAGTCACTTGCCTTCTGTGGTTGCTCACATGAGACACTAAGGTACTGCAGGAGAAGGAGCCCTGGGCATATGATAAATAGGTTTGTAGTAAAAGGAATCAGCCATTCCTCAGCTAGGACAGCTGATGTAGGGGTTGATATTTGAGATCCATTTCTGTGCACTAAGCCACCAGCTGATCGAGTTTTTTAGGCAAAACTTGTCAAACTTGTGTAAAATTATTTATCTCAGTAGCTTGGAAACTCCTCCAAAACAGTCACATGCTGGGAAGGGGAGGATTTGGATTCTCAGACTGAAGAGTTGCAGAGAAGTTGTACAACTTGACTAAAACTGTTTGGGAAGTCAGCAAAAATACATCAAGAGATCATGGGCCACATCCAGAGCAGCGTGGGCAGCAGGTGGAGGGAGGGGATTCTGCCCCTCTGCTCCGCTCTCCTCAGACCCCACCTGCAGTGCTGCCTCCAGCTCTGGGGCCACCAACAGCAGAAGGACATGGACCTACTGGAGCCAGTCCAGAGGAGGCCACGAGGATGATGCGAGGGCTGGAGCAGCTCTGCTGTGAGGACAGGCTGAGAGAGTTGGGGCTGTTCAGCCTGGAGAAGAGAAGGCTCCAGGGAGAACTTCTAGTGGCCTCCCAGTACCTGAAGGGGCTCCAGGAAGGCTGGGGAGGGACTTTTGACAAGGGCAGGGAGTGACAGAACAACGGGTGATGGCTTTAAACTGGAAGAGGGGAGATGGAGATGAGATCTGAGGGAGGGGGGTGAGCCAGTGTCCCAGGCTGGCCAGAGAAGCTGTGGCTGCTCCTCCCTGGAAGTGTTTAAAGCCAGGCTGGATGAGGCTTTGAGCAACCTGGTCTAGTGGAAGGTGTCCCTGCTGCTGGCAGGGGGATTGGAACTGGATGATCTTTAAGGTCCCTTCCAGCCCAAACCATTCTATGGTTCTAAAAGTTTTCAGACAAGGACTTAAACACAAAATTGCCCCTCCCCTTCCCTCCCCTCCCTCTGTGCAGACATCAAGCTGTCCCCCCTGCACTCAGGACATCATTCTTCTGCTTTCAGGCTGGCGCTGGGCTGCATTTCACCTCGATACATCTATGAGCAGATCCAGAAGTATGAAAAAGAGAGAACAGCAAATCAGAGCACGTACTGGTATGTCCTTACATCATCAATGTGGCTTGTTTTCTCTGAAAAAAAACCTGGTATCTCACGCACAGGAGAGAGTCATTTGTTAACTTTCCTCTTAATTAATGTTTGTTTTTCCTGTGCCTGCCTCTGGTTCCTCTGGGTTGTGTTGCACTTCAGTTTCAATATGGATTTATTAGTCTGCCTTTGACATCCAGAGGCACTTTCCAAGTAAAGATTATTAATGCTGGTTGTCATTGTTATTGCTGGGAAATCGTGGTTCATGATTTTTAAAAGTGATCTCTGTAAATTAGCACCATCCCTCTCTGTATTGTTATTATGGGCTAGATGAGAAGGAAGAAGAATGATTTACAAGTAAAAGCCAAAGAGTTTCTCACACCACAGATATGAACAGGGTTTCACCCAAAAGGCTCAGTGACTGTGTGAGACATGGTATCAGAGGGACATCTGTCCACAGTCCAGCCAACAGCCCTGTGACTGCTTAGCTGCCTGGCCATGGCCATAACACCACAGCACAGGGGAAGAGTGGGCTGGGTAGTGGGTTTAATGCATCCTGCCTTGTCTTAGAATCATAGAATCATAGAATGGTTTGGGTTGGAAGGGACCTTAAAGATCATCCAGTCCCAACCCCCCTGCCATCAGCAGGGACACCTTCCACTAGACCAGGTTGCTCAGAGCCTCATCCAGCCTGGCCTTCAACACTTCCAGGGAGGGGGCATCTACAACTTCCTTGGGCAACCTGTTCCAGTGTCTGACCACCCTCACAGTGAAGAACTTCTTCCTAATATCTAATCTAAACCTCCCCTCTTTCAGCTTAAACCCATTTCCCCTTGTTTTGTCATTAACTGCCCTTATGAAAAGTCCCTCCTCAGCTTTCTTGTAGGCCCCCTTCAGGTACTGGGAGGCCAATTAGAGCCTGGCCTAACACTAGACCTGGATGTGAAAAAACCCAAACCAGAAAGTCTGTGTGAACTGACAAGAAAGGAAAGATCTCAAGGAATGAACATATTTATGTTTTTCCATCTAATGGCCATGCAGCCTGCCTGCAGCTGGGTGGGCTGAGCGTTTGATAGTGATAAATAATTGTAAAAAAGCAGCTGTCAAGCTCCCAGGCCCCGCAGGCAGTTGTACAGTGAAGTACAGGTTGTGGTGGCTGCACGTGAGGGACTGATTGACCCTCAGTAAGGTGACACTAGCTGATAGCACTTGGACAGTGCCCTGTTTTGTCATCAGGTTTTCCAGAGAGCCAAAACATCAGCTGAGCAGAGTATTTCCAATAGGCCAGAGAACTGAAGCAGGTCTCAGAGGCTGAGCTGCCATCATTTTATAAGATGCACTTTATATATTAGAAGTTTTTGTAAAAAAAGAAGTGTTTTTTCTGCAGGCCTAGCACATGATCTCATGAGCTCGACCACTGCACACCCAGTTTTGAAAGGTGCCTTTAAGCCCTTTAAAAAGGTTATTGCTTAAATCAATGCAAAGCTCTTAGGAATGTGCTGACAGGCTGCTGATGCAGAAGTGTGAAGCTGACTCAGGTCCTCGCCCTGCTCTTTAGAGAATTATATCCCAGTAGGGACGGATGAGAAACAGGTTTCCTGAAATTCTGCTCCTGCACTGGAGTTAAGGAAAGCTGCCCAAGTGATTCATGCAGAGTTTGCTTTCACTGTAGTCATCCAGGTACAAGCTAGATAAGTAGACTTGGGGCAAGAACTGGTGTCATGGGAAGGTACGTGAAATTGCTCATGGTGAATAAACCTCATGGTGTTACTGAGGGGTGCTATGGAAGCAAACTCCTAATTCAGTAATTTTATCTGACCCATAGTGAAATACAGACGTGGCTTTGTGTTTCAGGGTCCTCTTTGAACTGCTGTGGCGGGATTATTTCCGATTTGTGGCCCTGAAGTACGGCAAAAGGATTTTCTCATTAAGAGGTGTGTATGGATCACCATATTTGGAGAGAAAAATCACAGAATCACAGAATTGCCTGGGTTGGGAAAGGCCTTTAAGAACATCAAGTCCCATCATTAACCTCACACTGACAAGCCCCCGACTAACCCATGTCCCTCAGCACTGTGTCTACACGACTCTTCAATCCCTCCAGGGATGGGGACTCCACCACTGCCCTGGGCAACCCCTTCCAATGCCTCAGAACCCCTTCAGCAAAGAAATTCTTCCTCACATCCCATCTCAACTGCCCTTGGTACAACTTGAGGCCATTTCCTCTTGTCCTATCAAGCCAAAAAGTACAGTCTTAGAACAGGGAAAGTAAGAGAAGAGGCTGTCAGCATTGTGTTGTACCAATGTTCTCATAGTGCTTGTGTCACCACCCTGGGATGTTGCTGGGGACTTACTGTTGGCACAACACCACGGTGCCGGATACTGTGTAGACACTGAGAGTTTTGCCCCAAATCTGATTAGATATGGGGAATGTTATTAACACATGTCAGTGGGAAACAGCAGCACAGTAAGAGCAAAGATGCTATTTCCAGAGACTCTCCACCTTTGCAGAGAATCCTGGCCTCAGGCTTGCCCAGGTTCACCAGAGAATCTAGGACAGAGCAGGAATCAACTCAGCAGTGTGAACCCCAAGAGACCAGATATCTTTCTGCCTTGCACTACGTAGGAATCAGAGTGAGATTCAGCTCCAGACCCAGTCACTTTGGTGCAGGTGCCTACATGTGAAATGGGAGTCTGAACTCTCAGTGCAGCAGCAAATATCTAGTCCACATGGTCAGGAAGCCCTGCAGCTGATGCCAGTGTTGGGTGAGCTGTTCTCCATGTGATTTACCTGCCCACATGTGAGCATACACCACTGGTTTAGATGCCCTAGGCCAGTCTGCCTGGCATCCAGCTGTGGCTGCAGAGGAGCACATCCCTCTCAGGGCCTGTGTCACACCTGCCAGGCCTTTGTGGCTGTTTTGAATGCCCTGTGGCATCTCGTCAGCAGGTGCTGATCTCTGATGACCAATGCCAGGAGCAGAGGAAATGGCAGGATGACGTGCCAGGGGAGGGCGAGGTTGGCCATGAGGAAAAGGTTCTTGAGGCAGAGGGTGGTGGAGCACTGGAACAGGCTCCCCAGGGAGGTGCTCATGGCACCAAGCCTGACAAGATTCCAGCAGCATTTGGCCAAGGCCCTCAGGGACATGGTGTGAATGTTGGGATTGTCCTGTGCAGGGACAGGAGTTGGACTCGATGATCCTTGTGGGTCCCTTCCAACTCACAACAGTCTGTGATTCTATCATCTCAAATGGCACTGGGTGCCAGTGGTGGGCCTAAACTTAGATGTCCCAAGCCAGAGCCAAGTCATCCCTGCTGTCTCCATCCCATTGTGCAGAGGACTGTAATTGCCACTGTACCCCTGCAAACATAAAGTCACCCCCCTCATCTGTTCCTGTCCCACTGCAGGAGCAAAGTGTTACCAGGGGCTGCCAGGTAATTGTGAGTCCAGTCACTGCTACAGAGATGGATTTCACATAACCATTGTCCTGGAGTAAAACTGAACAAGAAAATAGTAGGGTGGGCCAGAGGACATCTCCGTCCACTTGTGAGGTCTGAGTCATTTTAAAATAAAACAACCAAAATCAAACACAATAATCAAGATCTGTTAGGGCTTGAGCATCCTCCCTGTGCACGAGACACCCATTTGCAGCACCTGAAGGGAGGAGTGGATCATCTCTAAACCTTTGCAGAAGGAACCTGGCTTGTTTGTAATACCACTGAGAGTGCTAGCTTCATCCTCACCTCTGATGTCAACCAAGATGCCCCTGGCTGTCATTGTTTTATTAATAACTGCCTGTGTCAGCATTTGTCTTCATTAGCAGTTCATTTATTTTCCTCAATAGGGCTTCAAAGTAAAGAGATCCCCTGGAAAAAGGACCTTCAGCTCTTTGACTGTTGGAAAGGTCAGTAGAAACCAGAGGTTTGGCTAAGTGTGCTTTTGATTTCCAGTGTCTGCATGCTAACGAGCACCCTGACACTAACTCAGATTCACTCAGGGGAACTGTCAGCCTGACCAGGCCCTGTCATTTCATCTGTTACCACCAAACATGAAGCCAGCCCCTGGGTTTGGTGTGAGTGCAGGGTACTTGGCTTCCCTTCCGAGACTGAGCACCACACAGGAGCAGGCTCACGGGGTCTTGTGAACGGCCAGGCTCTGTCCTGCTGGTACAACACTGTGTGGGATGTGCTGCCCTTAGATTTTCCTGCCCAGGTGGAAGTGTTTACAACCTGTTGGTCCCTTATTTTTAGTCACACAAAGGCTGACCAGCCCTTCTTATCAATGCTAAATTGTTCTTCCAACCAGTTTTTGGTTAGAAGGTTAAAACAGCTTTAGAATAAAATACATCTTTAGTTAGGCCACAGCCTTTTAATATCCTTGCTTTTCTTTAAATTTACAACTTTGTTGTCACACGAATAGGAGGGATAATATCTCAGATTAAAACTGAAGGAACTAACAGATTAATGTATCAGAATCAATGAAATATACACCTATATATCTTCACATTAATGCCACGTGTGTCCACTTGCACACAGATAAAATAAGTGTTTTCCTTAACAAGAGACAAGGCTCTCTACTTTTCAGGTGCTAACCCCTGGGGACTTGGCCAATACTCTCTGCTATTTGTCACCTGTCAAGAATTTATCTGTTCTTGGCCCATCTCACTATTGTGTGTATATTTATTTCACTCTGCAAAATTCCCTGCGATCCACCCAATTCATTGTTTTTTCCAGTCTGAGATTTTTCTGTTCCTCGTTTTTTTCTTGCCAAAAATTCTCCTCATTTTAATTTTCAGTATAATTTCACATTTAATTTTCAGCAGATCTTAGTAGCTGCACGCCAGCTCAACCTCACTGAAACCTCTCCCTGCTGCTCTACACCGGCACTGGCTTACCTGCTTGGGTGGCTGCGAGTGCACAACCACAGGTTGGTTTATGAGTGTTCAAAGCTCTCCTCATGTCCCAGCACTGGCTTTTTGTCTCCACAGAGGGCAAAACAGGCGTTCCTTTTGTCGATGCCAACATGCGAGAGCTGGCTGTGACCGGCTTCATGTCTAACAGAGGGCGGCAGAATGTCGCCAGCTTTCTCACCAAGGACCTGGGTCTGGACTGGAGGATGGGGGCAGAATGGTTCGAATACCTGCTGGTAAGACTTGAAACCTTGTGTGTCTGGGGTTGTGTGTGCTCCCTGCCCTCAGTGACAGACAGGAGGACAGCTCTGCTTCATAAGGAAGGATACCAAGAAGGTATCCTTCAGAAGGACCATTCATTCAGAAGGTATCCATTCAGAAGGCCAATAACCGTGTCTTGGGCTGCACCCAGAGCAGCGTGGGCAGCAGGTGGAGGGAGGGGATTCTGCCCCTCTACTCCGCTCTTGTAAGGCCCCACCTGGAATACTGCGTCCAGTTCTGGAGCCCCCATCACAAGAGAGACCTGGAGCAGCTGGAACAAGTCCAGAAGAGGCCACCAGGATGAACCAAGGGCTGGAGCACCTCTGCTGTGAGGACAGGCTGAAAGAGTTGGGACTGTTCAGCCTGGAGAAGAGAAGGCTCCGGGGAGATCTTATAGCGGCCTCCCAGTACCTGAAGGGGCTACAAGAAAGCTGGGGAAGGACTTTTCATAAGGGCAGTTAATGACAAAACAAGGGGAAATGGGTTTAAGCTGAAAGAGGGGAGGTTTAGATGAGATATTAGGAAGAAGTTCTTCACTGTGAGGGTGGTCAGACACTGGAACAGGTTGCCCAGAGAAG